GTAGGTGCCTGCATAGGCTTAGGGTTGCCGAAGTAGGTTCGCTGCGCCCTGTCAAGAGAATGGCCTCGGTTGGCGTTAGTCGCTACTCTTCCAGGGCTGGCCAGAAGATGGACCCCCAGGCCATCGCCCACAAGGATGAGGCCCTCTTCTGGGCCCCAGCCAGGAGGGGGGGAAGGCCGAGTGCAAGCAGTATGCAGCATGTCCTAGAGTCGGTGTACGATGAGCTCGCCCGACGTAGGTTCTCGCGGGGGGCTGCCCGATCGCCTGTCCATGGTTTTGTTTTCAACCTCAGGGGCCTCGGCTGGTGCTTCGTCGATCCTAGGTCCCTCAGGTCCGAAACTGGTATGCCAATAGATCTGCTCGCGCTGGCCCCCACACAGGTTGGGTGGCTCGCGCAGCGGGCCTTGCACTTCCGCTCGAATAATGCGGCCCTCCAGGCTCGGTCAGGGTCCCAGAGCTGGTCCAGGCCTGTCAGGTGGATGCCTCTCCTGGGTCTCCTGGGCGGGCCTAAGGAGGCCGCGGGCCCCTCGGCCTTCTGGGACCCGCGCAGGCAGAAAACTTTAAGGAGCGGCGTATCGCGATGCCACTGGCAGCAAGAGGGACTGCACAGGCACGGCCATGCTAACTCGCCCTTCCGCAAGCGAGGTGGAGCGGCCCCAGGTGCCCAGTTTCACTGGCACTTCCGGGGTTGCTTTGTTGACGGCGCTGCCACCTCCAGGGCGGCTAGGTCACCCGAGTCTGCGTGCAGCGCTGCGAGCAGCCGTGCCCACTTTTGGACTCGGGCCCCCCATCTCCGCGATGGGGGGCCGCCTACAGTTGCGAAGGCCCGAGCGAATTCGTCGCGGGTCGAAGTTGGGCGGGCGCTTTCGACCCCGCCCCACAAGAGAGGCTCGGACGAGGCTGATCACCTTGCGAGGCCCCGGGCGCAGTGCCATCCGTCTATGGCCCAGGCTGCGCGGAAGCCCCGCCTGTTCGAATCGGCCGGGTGCCAAGCTGGCCATTGGGCTTGCGAGCACGAGGCCTGGAGGGCTGACAGAAGGCGGCGTGGTGGCGTCGAGCTCGTGGGCCCCGAGGGGGCCCGTCGGGGCCGTGCCTTCTCCGCGGCAGCTGACCGTGCCGAGAGTCTGTTTCGGGGGCCAGCAGTTCGTCCCTTCGGATCTGCAGTATCCTAAATTGGTCGCCCCCTTCAATATGCTTGGTCACTCGCTCCGCTGGGCCACTGTGTTTGGCCCTGGCGGTGAGAGAGTGAAACATGGGGGCACCGTCTGTGCGTGTACTTAAGTGCGGGGGTTACAGTTGGGGGGCGGTGAAGGCCCTGCGCCGCCCCTGCACCCCGCCCACGGCGGGCCTGAAGAGGCAGTCGAACCGCGTCGTGAAGGGCGTTTTTCCGTCTAGGGCCCTTCAGAATCATGGGTGGACAATGGGCCCGACGAGGCCAGCCGCCCCAGTGGATGTGGCCATCCTGGCAACCACGTCTTCGGCCGATCTCGCCCTGGGAGGTGGGAGGCGGGGGGCGCGGTCGTCGCTGTCGCGGGGGGAGGGGGGGGGGGGGGGCGGTGGGGCGCGGCGGGGCGCGCTGCTCGGTTCGACCTCACGCCCGAGAGGCTGGCGGAGGAGGCGGACCGCCCCCGCAGGGAGGAGAAGGTGTCCAAGGAGGCGAGGCGGGCGGCCAGGCAGGCCCGCCGCTGACGCCCCTCGGGCCCACTTCCTTCCCCCCCTCTCCCCCCCCCCCGCTGGTGGCGAAAATGGATGGCGCCCCCGAGAGCGCCACCCCGCGGGAGGGACATTGGTGGGCTGAGGTGGGTCACTGACCTCCTCCGCCATGGGAAATATAAATAGAGGAGGAGAAGCAAGAGGGGGCCCTCGCGCCACCTAGTTGAGCGCGCCACCAAGAGCGGCGGTTGAGACCGCGCACGTCTCTCTTGCTCTTCGTCAGCCACGGAGACACGGAGAACAGAGAGGCGAACCCGCGCGAGAGAACTGCCTCACAAAGAGTTACTGCCTCATCGCCAAACGGGCCGCCCTTCACCCCCACACGGGGGGACCTTCCTTCTCACGCGCAGGGGGGGGGGGGGGGGATTTCGGGGGGGGGGGGGCAGCGAGTCACCACCCACCAAACCACCCAACCCAACCCGAAGGTTTCAAATAGCCCCCCGTTTCCAGTTGGGGGGGCTGAGGAAGGTCGAAACAAACGCATATGGAATCCGCCCCCCCCCCCCCCCCCCCCCCGGGCCCGACCCGAAATGCGGGTCTTCGGGTTGGGGCGGGGTGACTTGGTAGGTTGTCAGAAAGGGGGCGAGCGAAAACGAGAGACGCGGGAGGCGCCTTCGACAATTAGCTCCCGCGCCGTGTCGCGCGCAGGGCGAGGCCCGCGCTGCAGCAACAGATTCTGCCGCCGCACCTTCTCGATCCCCCCCCCCTCGGGCGCGCCGCCTATTCTGGGGCCAACGTTTGGTTTTACGATGCTTTCGTAAGGGTTTCGGCGGTTTTCCAGCCTCGG